ATCAGTCATAAAGAATAAAGAAGAAGAAGAAGAAGAAGAAGAAGAGGAAAGGGAAACCGAAAAGAAGCCCATAACGCATTGCACCGAAGGAATGGATGGTTAGGAGGGATTTAGTACACAGACATCAAAAGAGAAGGGAATCGAACGGACAAAGGGTGAAACCGTGACGGGAAAAAGGCATGGCGGGCCTAATCGACCTCTAACGCCCGTTTCCTCCCTACCTCCTGGATGGGGATGGGTGTAATCGTACCCAACACGAACAAGCAATACCCATTAACACGAACATGCCTTGTGTGTTTTCTTCGTTCATTATCGTCACCGCGTCTTCCGATCTATCATTTCACGACACGTTCCGGATGGGCGGGGTTGGCGGGGGCCGCCTGGAGGGTTTTTAGCCGCGCGGAATGCCGCGCGAGTTGATCCGCCATCGCCTGGCCGTGATTTTTCCACAATTTCTCCACCTCCGCATCGCTTCCCGCGGTGATTCGACTTTTTAGATCCTTCGGCGCCTGCAAGGCCACGCACTGGGCGCGAGCTTCCTGGATCTGGCCCTCCGCCGAGCCCACGCAGAGCTCGAACTCGTTCAAGAAGGTCTCGAGCTGGTCTAACATGCGGTGCTTTTCGTTCACGGCGTACCGCCGCGCGACCAACGCGTCCACGGCTTTCGTCAGCTTCTGAATGGCATCAAACTGCCGCATCCGCGCGGCATTCCCATCGGCTAACATCCCGCGGTGGGTACAATTGTTAATATAAATAAATAAATATAAATATCTAAATATCTATATATATATATATAAATATATATATGAGAAAGCCCCACCACAGTGGAAGCGAACTAATTTTTAAAAGAGAAGACTTCAGTACCAAAGGGGGGAGGAGAATCAATCGGGCATTCGGATAGTCGGCGGCTGATCGCTTTCCGTTGAGGTTGTCTGATGATGATTAGTATTGGAATATTGAGAATCTAGGTTGGTATGTTTTGCAGCTATTTTTTTTTTTAGCGTTTGTACGGTACAGCCCCCAATACCCCCCCAAAAAAAATAACGATAAAATGATTCAATCAGGGCTCTTTACCTATTTTGAATGGATTGCTACCCTACCTACTATAGCACAAGGTGATACTATTCCTACGTGAAAAAAAAAAAACATCCCTTAAGTTCTACCAGGGAGAATGGAGAAATCGCTTTCTCGATTGCTCTCAAAAAGGGCCCCAAGATCCTTTTTCGTTCCTAGTGTTTGCCCCTTTCCAAAGTTTCCCACTCACTGCGCAGCCGGGGGTGAGCAAAAGGGGAACATCCGGCGTCGATGCGTCCTCGAATGGGTTTATTTCGTTTCGCATTGTTGTCCTTTATTTTGAGAGGAATAGAAGGCGAGGGAGGGGGGGGGGAGTTACGCGGCATCCCCCGGCTTCTTCATCCGAGTGCGGAAGAGCCAATCGTCGTAGATCTTTCGCTTCTCCTCGACGAAGTTCTCCGGGTACGGCGTCTCGCGGATCGCGGCGTTCCCTGTAATCGCCATATACAACATCGCCTGCTGGAGCTCCTCCATTCGCGACATCGCGAAGGACTTATTGTACAGATGCCGGCAGTTCTTCGCGGCGTTGTAGCTCCCTTCCTTCATGATGCAGCGGTTCAGCATATCCATAACCAAATTCGCCTGCGCGACGTAGACGTCGCGCTCGCGCTCGAACCAGTTCTTGAAGCTCAAATAGTGATAATAATCGAGATATTTCCCGTCGATTGGGGGGGGAATTTTGGCGTTGACGTAGGTCCGCCGGGGCCAACGCCAGGAGGCCCACCAGTACTCCTCCGGGCAGGGGTTGGGCCGCGAATGGGCGTCGACGTAGGTCCGCGGGAGCAGCGGGACCATCGGGCTACAAAGGTAATCCCACAGCCCGTCATAGGCCTTCTCCATGCGCCCGCCGAGGCTGGGGAAGTCGGGGGCCTGGCCGTATTTCAGCTGAAGTACCCGCGTAAAGCGCTCCACGACGGTCAGCGGGCGAGGGGGGAGGGGCCCCAGCGCGGGGAGGTTCTCCACGTAGGCCCGGGAGGCCATCGACGGAATCCCCGCGAAGGGCGGCGGGTGCCGGGGGTCGTTTGGCCCTTCGGCGCTTTCCCGCTCGTTTGGGGAAGCCGTAGTCCGGGCGGACGCGTCCATCAACCCCACTCAGCCACCCGGCCCCCGGGTTATAGACAGGCGTGACAAGAGGGGGAGGGGGAGGGGGGGG